ACCTAATGTACAGATTTTTGTGCTGTGGGGGAAAACTAAATGCTGCGTCTTACTATATTTTTATATTAATATTATTGGATAGTTAAACCTGCAAATCCCATTGAGATCACAGATCTCTTTTGCAAGGGTGACCTGGGCCTGAAGGAAACCTAATGTACAGATTTTTGTGCTGTGGGGGAAACCGGAGTGGATCCGAACTGTGGATCGAACCAGGACCATCTTCTTCTTTCCACAGAATCCCACTTTAAAACATCTAAAAGATCTCTTTAAATCCTACTTGTGACCCTGAAGCCTTGCTTTTGGTCTTACTTCCTCTCGTTTGTCCAGGACGAGAAGCCTCAGGTCACCGTGCCACTCCTTGGCTGCGTCATAGAGGAACTCCACCAAGGTCAGCACTGTTTCTGTCTCAAACAGTCCAAAACCTGCCACGTGTTCTCCTGCGACGACCTGGACCTCAAGCAGAGCTGGCTGACCGTCCTGAAACTGTCTGTGATGAGAAACCTGTGATGGAACGCTGGAGGCTCTGCGGGAAGGGCGAACATGTACTCTATTAGATAAAATGTTTGAAATGAGAGYGAGAGAGGCGTGTTTTCTTTAAAAGTGGTTGTACACTTTATTTCTGAAATGGTTTGCAGTAAAAATAAATAAAGTGAAGGTGTTTTAAACTACAAAGATGTGAAAACTTCATTTTMTTTTAAAGAACCGTGTCATCAGTGACACAGAGGCTCGTGGAAACTATAAATGCTGTATGAAACACATTCATTTAATGAAAAGAAAACTGATTTTACACCTAAAACAAACAAAATGCTGTAAGGTGGAGACAAAAAACTTAGATCCTATCAAGTTTGTGTCATATTTTAACTAAAAGTTTAGTTTAATTTTGTTTCTATCATGGTGTTCCTTGGAAAACGTTTCATTTGGTGCATTTTATGAAGTATTTATTTTAGAGGAAATCTACCTGATCTGTAGAGCTATTCTCTAAACGTGTTTAAACCGGTTGTAACATCTGTTTTTATGTGAATTAAGAATAAACCTGTAATGTGAAAGAAGCTGCTCTTACTGACAAACTACCAGATAAATCTGACTACAAACTGATTTCTGCTTATTTTAAACTATCGGCTATGTCCAACAACAGAAACCCAGTTTTGCTAAAGAAATCCAGGTGCGGTTACAACTCTGGTAAAAGCTCATTAGTCAAACTCACTAAGCTCTCACAGAAAGGGAGATGTGCGCCTCAAACTGTGCTGCCAGACTGTCCCTTTGTGTTGACACAGTCGGAGGTTTTATGCCGCCCTTCCATATTTGAGAAAAAAACAAATCCTAGAAAGCAGTTCACTGTTTGAGACATGCATTTTATGTGAAATATTTACATTTCCTGAAAACTAGTTGGGGTTGGAGCTGCAATGTACGTTCAAAAATCTAATATTATTTGTGTCTCTACTTTAAGGGCTATAATGGCAGCAGTAAAGTTGTGTATTTTCTGTCTGTAAATGTTATTGAATGTTTTGTTACATGGACTGTTTCCAGTGTAAACACAATGCTAACGGCATTAGCTTTTCTATGACATTTTCAATGTTAAATTAGCATCTCTGCTACGTAATTGGGGGTTTTTATTGAGTGCTCTTTGTCAGTACATGAAAATATAAAACTGTTTATGTAAAATAAGCCATAATCATCTAYGTACTTCCTAATTGCATCAATGCTGTTGATTTTTCTGTTATTTTTTCTATGTTTGTGGTGGTCGGCCATATTTATGTGGCTCAGCGAGAGACAAATGGTGTTGATTGCTCACATCTGCTAAATTTGCACGGCATGAAAACCAAATTTAAGAMTATTGTGCAACCAGCYGTTACTACAKCCTTGTAGCAGGAGGCTATATCTATTCCTAAACTAGCTATTGATCTGATTAACGATAGGCTGACACCGCTAACTGAGCAGCTGGCCACGCTAACTGAGAGGCCGGCATTGGCAAAGGAGAATATTCATTTGTGTTAGCATTARAGAGGCTAGCGACTAGMAWGGATAAGCTGGTGTTAGTATAGGAGAATGCCTGCTTCTCCATGCTAGTCACTAGCCTCTCCAATGATGCCTGCTTCTCCATGCTAGTCACTAGCCTCTCCAATGATGCCTGCTTCTCCA